AATGTCATACATACCGACCCGGACCAGACGCGACACGGTCACTCACCACCTTATGTATGACAGGCATCAATCCCGGCTTGAGAGAGTGGTATGGATTTGACGAGGGTATTCATCATATTTATGTGATATTCATTGTAGCACGATCATGCGTGCCGCCTTATGTATGACATGCCTTGCCGCCGGGAGAGGTTCGGCTCTCTCATGCGAGTACTTGATATCGTCGCATGGCTCGATAAAACCGCGCGATAGCGATGTGTGTGGTGAGCTGGTTCTGAAATCATGGAGCACTGGCTCTGTGAGGCCATGGTGGATCCTAATGGCTGAACGGCGTGCACACGAGATTGCGCATGCGACGCGACGGGTGCGACGCGACGCGTTCATCGTGATCACCCTTCCCGGTTGAATGTCACGAGGCCCGCTCTGCAAAACGGGCCGCGCATGGGCATTAGCTCCCCAGCATGCTGCAGCATGCACGCAGCGCGCGTGCGGCCCTTAGGGTAATCGCTGGCATTCTCCGCGAGCACCCTTAGAAGCTGAGCGGTGCGCGCGCTGCGTGTTGCCTGCCTGCGTCGCCTCAAGAGCGATGGTCCTTGCCCATCAACAGCTTCCACGACGCCGACATGCCCAGCCGCTCGCCATTTCCAACCACGGCAACATATGTAACCCCCTGGCGACATCGAACGTCGAGCAGTGCATCCAATTGAGGAATACTGAGATTTTTGTGACTCGCGACATTTGGTGAGTGCAGCACGTTATTATATCTTGTCATACATGCGCTGAAAGTCTGCCTCAGCGTGTTTCATCAACACCTGCGGTCAACAGAACAACAATACCAAATACATGGGTGTACAACAGCACGTGTCGACAAATTCGCTCACAACTTGGCAGCCTACGCTCATGTCTGGTGGAGCCTACTCTATTCCGCCCGGGTTGCTGTTGCTTCTAGGGAGGTGAGGCTATCCTTATTATTCTTATAGGTTGCGCTGCGACGACGCTTAATTGTAGGGAGCCAATCATTCAACCAAACCAACGGACTGGCACAGATTCAGGTGTGCCCACAATGTTCTAACCGCCACGCCCGCGCCAGTATTTCATGCTGTACACTGTAGCTCTGCCTGGCTTTGGCCGCCAGCCCCGCGCCCTCTGCCAAGAGCAACACCGAGCGGTGCCATCACAGGCACGCTTCATCGTACGTCTCTTATTTTCTCATACGAACCGTCATACAATGCCTACTTTCTAACAGCCGCTAGATGTTCTATAAAGGTGGATCTCCGACATTGAAGCGCTGAGCTCAAGGAGGGGTGCGAAGTTGAACGCTCATGTACCGTGGGCGCTGAGTGGCCAGCTTGTCAGACTCACGAGCTTCGACAGGCCCTTTCCTCCAACGGCGCTCACTGCAAGGATCCATGGGCCCATGCCCCCTCCAGCCTTCATCGCGGTCCGCGAGACTCGCCCCGTCGTCCGAGGCATCGCCCTCAATACAACACCCTTGCATCGCTCGACGTCCCGCGAACCTCCGTCGCCATCAGCACGACGCGCCCCGTCCAACATCCCCCTGAAGCGTGTGCGGCCTGCAACACGACTCGCCACGTCGCTTGGTGTCCCTTCCAGTCTGTGTCGCCACCAACACGGCTGGTTGCGTCGCTCAGTGTCGTTGCCAACCTCCGTCACCATTGACCCGACTCGTCGCATCGCCCGACGTCCGCTTGAAGTGCCGCCAGTACGACTCGTCGCATCATCTGACATCCTCTCCCGCTTCGTCATCTTACTCCAGACTCATGATCGTTAGGCTTTGGTAGCAGGTGTACTTCATACATGCGTATTGATGATGATACGATGGTGCCACAAAATTTGAATGCAGTATGGTACATGGAGAGCAGCAGGCCCTCAGCGCGTTGGCTAGTCGAACGAGCTCACGTTGAGGGATTCTCCGTCACACTCCTCATCAGACCCCAGCGAACCTTCATCGTTTCCTAAGCCACGGCCATATTGAGGATCATGCGAGCGAGCAAGACAAAAAACCAAAATCGGAATGCGCACCGCCGTTTTTATCCTTGCTTCTCCTCTCAGCTCGTTCTTGAGCGCGCTTGCGCTTCTTCACGAAAACTTTTGCAGATCAGTAAGAAGCTCCAGGTGTACGAAAGATATGGTCACTTACCTATCATGGCGGCATCCATTTCGCGCGGGTCAGTGATTATAAGAGGCTCGAGCTTCATGATCCAATCTTGACCCAATCCGTGGACTTTCAGTGGTGGGAGCCATAACTTCGCAAAGACCTTAGCAAGGTCTCGGAGAATGCTGGCTTGACGGGACGCGTATGCGAGTAGGCCATGAGCTAATCGAGGGTTGCTCTTGACTCTCGAATCACCGCTCTGGTCGCGGCGTTGTCCCTGAGTCTCCCACCAATCGGCTTTTGCAAGAAGGTAAGTCAAGACACGCCGCATTTCCTCTACCAGAAGGCAGATCTCCTCCTCGTGCCTTCGCGTCCTGGCGCGCTGGCGCGCCCACTCGCTCCGCATCTGCAAATCCATTGCTCGGCTGTCGGCCACCTCGGGCACCTCAAAATCGGTGTGATCGGTAGAGTAGTCGGTTATCGATACGGTCCAAATCCAAGACGGCGTCCGGTGAGTCTCCGAGTGTGACGAGCGACGTGCAGGGGAGCGCCCGTTGGGGTTACCAACTACTTAGACAGCCGAAATGTCCAAGTAATCGGGTAGAGTCGGTAGGAAAGGCAACGTCGTCGGCACTTACGTTAGGCAAGAGTATACGCAGATAAAGAGGAGCTGAGCTCGACTCAAGGTCACTGGACACGAGGTCAACAGCGACGCAATGGACACCTAATGGACTCAAGGTCACACACTAAGTCCTAAGTCCCCAAGACACAAGTTAGCATAATATCTAGTACAGAGACGGTTACTCACCTAAGTCCCCAAGACACAAGAGGTTGAGATGGGGACTTAGGGCGAGCTACAGGGGTCTTATATACACAAATCCATGGTCCAAGAATAGTACAAGAGAATCACATGCAGGGCACAAGGATGAGTAAGACCGACCCACTTAGGTGGGTCAGGATTATGAATCAAGGAGTTAGAAGGAATAACGAG